TCGCGTATTTCGCCGTTTCTATCGTCGGGAAAGGTCGAAATGGTCTTAAAATAATAAAAGACGAATTTTCATAACGTTTGAACACCATATTGAACATAGTTTTAAGATATCACAAAAGTCGGGTGCGGGGAGCACTAGTAGGTTATGTGTGTCGGGGAGCCAAGCAGCCAGCCGAGGGCCGAGTGAACTTCTAGACCCTTCTTTTCGTTAAAGTAAGTGTTTTTGAGATACACACGCCTAACTTCAGAGTGTTTACGATAAATATACGACGCATTTCTCTCAAAAATATTGTTAACCCAAATTTCGTTTAAGAAATGACGAAAATCTTCAAGCCCATAGGCCGGCCGGCACTAACACCTTACTGTTCACAGGCTCTGTTTTGGTTCTCGTTTTCACAATGGAAGACGACGAAGATATATATGACATTGGCGGAGACGAAGAGCTTGTACCAGGTGATGACAAATATATTTGAAAAGGTGGTAAATGATGTGGAACAGGGGGATCAGAGCAGTGATTCAATGGTGGAAGACAGTTTTTCGTCACTTGTCAACAGCACACTGGCACTGACCGCCCCCCCCCCCCCCAGCAGCCAAGTCAACACCTCGGAGAAAGTCGAAAAAAAAGGAGCTACTCCTGCACCTGAGCCCCCTGCACCCCAACCGCAGCTTGAGACAGGTCCTGGTGCCTTATCTCCACGTCGTTCGTCTCGCATTGCATCACTTGCTGGGCCTTCATACACCTCCCCAGCTCGTCCGTCCCGTGCCACAGCCAGATCCTCACCGAGTACTGGGCCAGGCACAAGGTCAATATCATCGTCACCCTGCCCACTACCAGCTTGTCCATCCCGTGCCACAGCAAGATCATCACCAAGTACTCGGCCAGGTACAAAATCGAGATCCTCATCACCGTGTCCTCCACCAACAGCAATGCAACCAGGCAGAGGGAAGCAAGCCTCCCGTACTTTAAACAAGAATGTAACAGAGCACACCGACAGCAGAATTAAGTGCTCAGAATGTCCCTCAACTCTGGCAAATGCAAGAACGTATGCAGTCCACAAAAAAATGCACTCCCTGAAAAGTGAGCACTTTCTCTGGAAATATGGTATTTTTTTTTTTTTTTTTTTTTTGAAACTACTTGAATTTGATTACTTTTTTTTTCTGAACAGGGTTACTTTTCAAGGCTGCTAAACGAGATGAAATTTTTGAGCAGCTGCCAAATTTGTTTACTGAAACGTTAGGCAGATTACTAAAAGACACTAGTGAAGGAGATTTTGAAACGCAAGTGAAGCAACTAACAACATGCCTCAAGAATTGTAAGAGCCATTATGAAGAGTGCCATGAAGAATTTGTTAAGTTTTTACTTGAACATTTATACTTATTAATAAGTGATGCTAGAGGGGTTTTCTCTTCGTCCCTTTCATGTGTGTTTTATGTGGGAGTCAACAAACTCCAAAATAGCAGTGAATTTATTAACTCCTTTAATCAACATACAATGGGCCTATGTGAATATCCTTTTTAAGTTACTGTTGATGTTCTAAATTTGTTTGCTGGGTCTTGTTTGTATGAACTCAGTAAAGGTTTTAGTCTATATACAACTAGAAAGATACTTGGATCCACAGCAAATGATGACATTAGAAGGAAAAGGTCAACAGAAAAAATTGACTCACTAGCTTTCCTACAACTGTGTTACCACATTGGTGGATGTGTAGTGAAAGGGTTTGTGATAATAGGTGAAAAGTACGGTACCACCAATCCTATCTGGGCATCGTTTCTGACTGTGTTGAATTCTAAATTTAAAAAGAGTGAGGGTGTTAGGAATGCATGTGCTGATAATGTGATTCCCGTACAAAATTCCTAATAGCATTTTTCCTATCGCCGTACTTCCTAATGCACTGTATTCCTATACCACTTTTACTAAATTTTGAGTGGAAACTTTTCCTAAATGTTTTTCCTACTCGGCCCCCTACTTTTACACAATACTTTAGTTTTCATCAACTAAATCGTTTTAACACTAAGAAACAGATTTAAAACTGAGGTCAACTGATGTAAGGAATTAGGTATAGTCAACCTATGTTAACCCGATCTATAGATCTGCACTCAATACCATAGCCGAAGTTCTGCCTACAGTTCGTTTACAGATCTTTCCACCCACCAATCTTAAGCAATTGTGAACACTCGGAGTGTATCACTAGAACTTGAAGCTTCCATAGTACCTAAAATATTCTAAAATACTTCTATAATACCCACAATATATGGTACTGGGTACACGGCTGAGGCGAATCGGCCACCCCGCGTATTTAGGTTGGGAAAATTGGAATCGGAAGATTGGTAAATAGGAAAAAATAATTAGTTATGCGAAATTTAGGACGAATGAGTTTAGGACATTTTGTGGTGAGGAAAAGTGGAGTAGGAAAAATGGGTGAGAACGGATAATGTTACAGAATATACAAGGTATAAAGATATGGGTGGGTTGACCCACATTAGTAAGGAAGCGTTGGACTTTTTTTAAAGTTTTATTTGATCTGCTGATGTCCTTAGAGGGGAAAGATGGCTCTCTCCCAGAAAATGTAGTGTTTGAAAATGTGTTGGCTGATCACACTATTATATGTCTCTGGGATGTACAAGTTGGGGGGACTGATCTCAATGAGGACTGCTCTTTAGAACTTTGTATTCAAATAGCGGAAGTAGCTAACTTAATAGTTATTAAAGGAATCATGTACAGACGCCTAAATGATAACTTTAAAAAGGCCTAAAAAGGCCCCCGGCATTGAGATCAAAATTGGCTGACCATAAGAAATAAAGTATAAGTAATGACAAAATATTTTCTTTGAATTCTATTCGCATTTGTTTTTTATTAAATATTTCTGTCCACTAATTATGTTGTTACTTGCTTTATCAGAATGCTGCAATTGCTATTATATAGGTAGTATTATTAATGAATATGTTTGTTTGATAAGCCTTGATATATGAGAGAAATACATTACCATTGTGCTTTTACCAAAGCAGTAATTAAATTCAACTTTTAGAAATACAAACAATTTTATATTTTACATTTATTCACTTTGAGGTGATACATAATTGATTAGTCAGGTACAGTTTTTTTAGAGATATTTTAAGCAAAAGTTCTGCAATTATATTTGGAACTTGAAACATAATGCAACTTACACAATACATAGAAAGTAGTACTCTTAATTCTTAAGTAACCTTATCCTTTTCTTTAGAGGTTCATCTGATATTGTGTGGCCAACATCACATTCTCTTGAGTTTTCACCTGTGACCCTAACATCTAGACTTCTGCCTATACTATCTGCAACTTGTTTTTGCTGCCACTGGGCTGAGTTAGGATTCCTACTACCACCTCCTCCCATTCTTTGCTTCCCAAAGAATTGCTCCAAAGGATCTTGTAAATAAACACAGGCCATTACAAATTTAGCTCCAGCCACTGTGAGGAAGTACTTAGTTGCACCTTCAATGCCTTTAATTGATATTTCCAAACCATTTAAAGTAGCCTGAGGTGGCAACATTTTCTCCTTTTCCTTTTATGTGATGGGCAAGGCTTGTATTTGTTTAGTCCAATTCACAAAGTGGGCAAGGAATACTTTTTTCAGCCATGTAAACCTCTCATCAGCACTGCTGAAAGCAGCCAAATCAGTATTTCTAGTCCGCCCAGCTTGTTAATTGTGAGCTCCATTAAGAATGCCAAAGAATTTGTTGCAATGTAAAATGTACTGCACAGTCTCTTCAGTATCTTTCCAACCTTGCTTCCTTTGTCAAAAAATATCCGTGCAAAACAGCGCCTTCTCGGTGCAGACGCGTGCAAATCTGTGCCTTTCACGTGCCTTTCCTGTGAGTTTCCCGCGCGTTTCCTGTGCCTTTCGCGTGCGTTTCCCGTGCAGACCGGTGCAGACGCGGGCGCCGCGCCGCGTACGGATCCCAAGCCGTGCGCCCCCGTGTCAAGCGGTGCGCATACCTTACCTTGGCGTTCACGGTATAAAGATCTCTTCAGATTTTGAGGTCAGCCCTCGTATTTCAAGGACGGTTGCGTGACTCCAGCGGGCGGGGGCTTCCCTTGGAAGTTGCGGCAAAATTCTAGACCTTGTCTTGGAAGAGTCTGTTTCCAAGGATGAGCCGTTTCCGACTACTTTGGGCGCTTTTTACCGATTCTCGGCAAATCTCGACGATTCTTAGCCTATCGATTCTTACCGATTTTCGCCAATTCTCTCCAAAATGCGGAAAAATCGTAGAAAATCGCGAAAAATATCAGAAAAAAATCGGAATGGTCAAAGGAAAAAGAAAAAAACTAGACACCGTAGCCTAAAACGACCAAAGTTCCACTTTGGTGACAAATCTTTCACAATTCGATTCCGATCGTCTTTGGGCATAAAACATTTTCGATTTCTGTTGTCAAGAGGAATTCCTGCCAAAAGTCATATCTCCGATTTTCACTATTGGCTGGCACCCCCGGCTGTGGCTACTGCAACTCCATGGCTCATCCTTGGAAACAGACTGTTTCGAGACAAGGTCTGGTATTCGACCCCGAAATCCGAAGAGATCTTTTTACCGGGAAAGCGCCGGCACGGCATGCGCACCGCTTGGCACGGGGGCGCACGGCTTAGGATCCGTGCGCGGCGTGGCGCCAGCGTCTGCAATGGTCTGCACGGGAAACGCACGCGAAACGCGCGTTAATTCACAGGTCTGCTCCCTTGAACGAAAGTTATTGTGGCGTCCTCAAAGTGCATCTGAAGGCGAACGGCGACGCATATTAGTTTAATTTGCCGGAAAATCAGTCTCGAACGCCAATATATTAAAATTGCTTCTGACTTTACTCAAAAAGCCCTTTGCTAGAAGTACTATTCTATACTCTTCTCTACCAAAACTTCTGCTTGACAAATGCAATTGGGTGAAGTGCAGTGGGTTGTCTAGGGACAATTACCATTGTCAATTGTCATTGGGTGAAACTTCCTGACGCCCTTGGTTTTAACATTAGCTGTGCGTTTTTAGATTCTACTCAAGGAATCTCAGGCAATAAGACGCATTTTTATTTGGTACTGCAATTTCGGACTTTTGGACGAAGTATCTGTCGTGCTGGACGTGATCCTTGAACCAGATCCATGGTTTTCGCACCAGCTCCAAAGGCTTTACCCTGGACTCCCAGCTGCCTTTTATCTTCCTCTGGTATGTACAAAGTAACTGAAGTTAAATTTAATGGCCCTTAGGGGGGCAAACCTGTGAAACGCAAGGGTTCGGGAGATTATTTATTAAACAAAAACGACAAGTCGCAGGAAAACGGACGAGAAACCATCTATTTAGAAAAGAATTGTGTTACAATTTGATGTATAGTACAGCATTATAACCCTCCGCGAACGTGCTCTTCTTCGGTATTAATGGACGGGTACACAACTTGGTGGCGTGTCACGATGTTGGCCTAACGGGGAGACCTGCGCCAGTTAAAACAAATTGTCATTTACTATTAAAAGATGCTTCTATAGTAGATTCTTAACATTTTTTTAATACCAAAGTTTTGTCATCAAAAATTGGGTTGAAAATTTATTCCTCAAGTTTAAGAACCTGAGATGTGGCTAATTGAAAATCGCTCTCGTTACGCCCTAGAGGCATCTTTCAAAAGCAAATGACGATTTATTTCGCTATGTCGCACGTCCATCCGTTCGGCCGAAATCGTGCACGCCACCATGTAGTTAAGTCCGTTTCTCTGTAATTCGTAAGTTGTGTTAAATAAATTAAATAATCTTCTGAACCCGTGCATTAGACGATTTTCACAGGTCTGCCCCCTTGAGGTGATTTATTCTAAGAACAGTTAAAAAATGTGGTTGATTTTTTTCTGTGTTTAGAAGTGTTTTAACGCCACTGTGATCATAATGGGAATATCTGCTCTCTTCAGCACTATCTTCCTGTCGGTCGTAGTTTACCGAAGTACCGGTGCAATTCTTTGTGCCCTCGGGCATGAATTTAGCGAGTGTGTCGACATGAAAGGTACAGTAACCTAGCAAACGTTTCAGCCTTGATGGCTTGAAGTCTAAATGGCTCCTCTTGGCAAACGTCCCACATTCTGGCAGATAATAATTTAAAGGACGAGTCTCGGGGTGCCTGGCCATAAAGCCGTGGCTCAATAGTATCCAGAGAAAGTGTCGTATGAGGGTGGGTAGCCTGTATAAAGAAAAAAAAATAGCAATCGAGGTTGCACCCTCTAAAAATTGTATGGAACTTGTAAAGACAGTGTGCAAAATCTGGGCACAACCAGACAACGCTTTCCTGGCCCGGGTCGCATTTGAAGTTGGGAACTCGAAACGTCCGCGAAAGAGACTACCATGTTGATTCCCAGCTTCGCTCCGCTGGTGCGCCTTGGGACGATGGGGCACGGGTCAGGTAAGACCCTTATGAACCCTACTTCTCAACTGCTGAGGTGAATCCAGTTTCACAGCAAACACGTCCTCTACAGGGGCGTAAGTGTAGAGACAGCCTATGTTACGTTTGACGGAGCGAATTGGCAGCTACGAATAGACTAATTAGGGAGGTTTTCAAAATAAGCGACACATTTGTGTCTTTTGGCCGTAGAATCGTTATGTTTCTGCCGTTTTCGATGCCGTTTGGCTGATTTGATTCGGGGGAAGGTGGCGAACTAAATTTTAGTACATAAAAGGCAATGTCAGTGGTGAAAGTAACGAGGGGTCCCCCACTCGCCAACTCGTTGTACACGAGGAAAAATACTCGCATGATACTCGCGACAACTCCCGACAACTCGCGACAACTCGCGGAAAATTCGCGAAAACTCGCGAAAAAATCGACAACTACTCGCCTTATACTCGCCATTACTCGCATAAGCTCGCGGATACTCGCTTATACTCTCGAATACTCGCGGACACTCACGCAACTCGTTGTACACCCACTTGGAGAGTGGAGGACCCCTCGGAAAGTAATCGAAATTCCTTAGGAAGTAGTCAAACTGTAACTTCCGTACTGTCCTCCGCGCTAAAACCTTAACTTTGGACAGCTATATCTTCAAAAGTCTTTGTTGGAGAGAAAATCCGAAAGCTTCTACGCGTTCCTCCATGTTTTCTGTGCAACATATTCGAATTCGAATCGCTAACTACTGTCGCAAATACACTGGTCAGAGCAGCAGCCCAAAAAATGTCCTCCAGAGTGACGGGAGGGAAGCAGTGCCTCCAGAAGGGCTGGCTCATGCGGGCTCTTCGCTGTTGGCCGAGAAGCGAAAGAGCCCGCAACAGCCTGCTGCGACGTGCTCAGCGAGCGGCTGTGTTCGGGTGTTCCTCCCGAAGCCGGCTTTGGCATACGTGAATTCGTGTGGCGCGGCCCATCCGGCAGAGGCTATGCTGCCGAAAAGAGCCCGCTGGAGCCCGGGCCAGCCCGGTCAGCTGCCGCCAGCCCGCGCACTTGTATAGACCATTCCACTCAGCCGAAAGAGAAGAAGAGAAGGAAGAAGCAAAGGTATCGTTTAGGGCTGATAGGGCAGATTTGTGAGTGATTCGTTGTCTTAAAAATATTTGCTCTATAAAATCATTTTGAACATGTAAGAGTTGTAAAATGCTGTGTTAGAAGGTCCATTGAGGCCCAAAAAATATATTTGCTTCTTCCTTCTCTTCTTCTATTTCGGCTTAGCGGAATGGTCTATTGCGGGCTGACGGCGGACTGCCCGCGCCCGCCGGCGCCGGCCCACCCCGCCTCGGCCACGGGCCCGGGCTGATGCCGCTGGTTGTGCCGAAAGAGTTCGAGCCTCGGTTCGAGCGGGCTGAGCGCAGCCGTGCGGGCTCTTTGCGGGCTCTTTCGTTCAGCAACAGGCTGGGCTGGGCTGGGCTCCTGCAATTCGTGGTTGCGGGCTGTCGCGGGCTCCCTTGCCTACCGCGCCAACAGCGAAGAGCCCGCATGAGCCAGCCCTTCTGGAGGCACTGGAGGGAAGGACCCATTCAAAAGTTCGCACTATGAGCAGTCCCTGTGGCTACAGACGTTTGGTGTCCCAGTCTCCGGTAAGATCACAGCTGTCGATTACAAGTATGGGCGGCTTCGAGATGTAAACAGTAAGAAAACTAGAGGCGTTTGAATGATAAATTCTGGGTTTTTAAAAGCATACCCGTAACATACCGTACGGCTCGTAGCTCCGCCAATTTTTGTCGCACAGAAATCATACCTTTTGTCTTAGCATACATTTTATGTCACGTAAAATATCCGATTTTGTCCGGTACTCATATCACCAAGGATCTGCTTGAAACTGCCTATTTTATGAAAATGTAACTTCCGTACATATGTAACTTTCGCACAGCTGTGTAACTTCCGTACAACCGATTTTACACGGGTGTTCCCTACATTTTCGAGAATTCTGCAGTGGGAGCTCTGGTATCTTCAGGAAGTGGTCAGGGGACAGAGGCCAAAACAGACCCCACCCATTTCTTTATTTTTTTTCAAAAACAATTTTTTGTTGAGATTTTAGGAGGCCAAATATGTCGCTTATTTTGAAAACCTCCCATTAAGCGTACATCAGGGGTGCCCTTTACTAAGAGGAAAAACACTGAAAAACGCCGGGTAACGTTTAACTATAACGTCCCGAAAAGTAGCCGCTGTATAGCTGCCCGTTTTCGAATAAATTTCCTCGAATGAATTTTCCTTCTACTTAAGTATTACTAATATCCCAGAAGATGGGGATGTAATACTTAAATAGAAGGGAAAATCCATTGAAGGACGGGCAGCCACCAACTTGCTACATTCTGTTGGTACCACTGTTAACCCGCGCCTGCGCCCCTCTAGACTGCCCATTGTTGTTGTCAACCGCGCCCGTCCACCAGAGAGCCCCACCGGTTCGTAGCCTCGCAGGAGATGGCACTCGGTCCACTTTCTGGGCATGGCACGCCGAGCAGAAGGCACTTTTGCGGAAGCGTTGAAACTGTGATCCAAGCAACGGTAGAGAAAGAAAGCCTGATATTTTTAATCAGCCGTAGTCTTTGATCCATATGAGCAATGTTTTAAAAACCTCAGCCGGCCCGATCAATGTCAGGACTAGCCGTAAACGTAAGTTATTTTGTGGTGTGCAAAGTCCGTCTGAAGGTTAGCGGCTACGTATATTTATTTAATTTTCCGGAAAACAAGACTCGAGCGCCAAAAATTTGAAAGTGTTCCGTTCCGGATTATACTCAAAAAGCCCTTTTCAATCACTGTTAAAAAAAAAACCATTGTAATTTTACAAATATTGCTGGCAACTTTTTACGCAATTCAACATTTCCCAGGGTAAAAAAACCATGATTGTCATGGTCAGATTGAGATTTTGACCATGGAAAACCAAGATTTTAATCATGGACATTGCCTAAACCATGGTGATCACCTATGCCCATCTCCCCAGCCATGATACTTTGCAATCGGTTGACCATGGACAACGACTCAACAACCATGCGCAATTGGGATGTCCACACCATGGTCTACCTTGGCGTGTTCTTTAGATAGTGTCGTTTAGACATGATTACAGTGCGCCATCTCTCGGGAGCTCGCGACACTAGCGACCAAAACGTCATTGTAAACACGGGCACCGGCGCCGGTCATCAACTTTG